GCAGAGATTTGAGAAATATCCAAATTCTCTCCAGGGGAATCTGTGAGTACCTCTAACTTATGAAAGCAGTAACTTAGTGAGCCCATAGCCCAATTTTCTGGAGGAGTAATGCATCAACCATCGGGTGATATCTTTAGTGTTCATACTTTAAAGAACATTATATAGCAAGAAACTTTCAGAGCTTCTTAGCACTGAGTATTTGGTTCCCTCCAGTGAGGGGGGATTTGCAGCAGGGCAAGGAGAGTTCATTAGATGCTGGACAAAATGGCCCAGGAAACTGTTTGATTACCTTTGCTTATATGGTATGCATATCACAAAAACTTCTGATCACTAACTTTGTTCCTTGGGCTACACACACACACACATCCCAGATGTGGAACTAGGGATGCCTAGCTGGCAAGGAACCTAAAGTCACCAGGGTATCTGGTTCCTGGAACAATATAGGGAAAAATATGGTTGCTGAAGCCTGATGACTGAGTCACGGCCTCACCAGTTGTTGAATGTATGACTATGACAGCACCACTTAAAATTAAAATTCACTGGGAGTCTTGACGCCTGCTCCTGTGAAGCGTAGCTACTATCAGTGAGCATCCAGAACAGCGGTGAAAATAAATGAGACAGAAGAGGTTAAAGCATTTCGGAAACTACAGGAATAAGAGCTGATGAGTGCAAAGCCCACTGCTCTGCGCTCTTCCATTTGCGCACTCCGCTCTGGGACTCAGGCCCTTTGTAGTTCCTGCAGTACCCCAGAATCTTTCCTGAGCTTTCCCTCAGGCTGACCCCCCACCTGTGATTCCCTAGCCCCATGCCTTTGTTCTTCACCTGCTGAGTTCCTTCTTGGTTACCTAAGTTCTCAGCTCAGTATTACTCTGGAAAGGCCTTCTTTGCTCCCAAGGCAGCTTAGATTCTCTTTCATACTTCCCAGTACTTCTTCATGGCGTTGTCAGGGTTCAGCCATGATTCGCTTGTATGTTTTCCCACTTATTACCTCTCTTACTGGATGATAAACTCCAACAAGTACATCCTCTTGATTTCACTCTCCAGTACGTTCCTGAGTACCTTGCATAACAGAGGCATTGAGTAGTGAATGTAAAAATTACTATTTAATTTGACAACATAAATATAAACATTAGCCTCTTTATTAATATATAAAAGAGTTTGTGGCATTTGGGTCCCTTGGTCCTACTGAGCTTAACCAGTTTTGGATAACTAGACAAAGTCAGGTATGAGTCCTACCGCAGTGAGGACTCACTGTGGCCTCTCCCTGCAGGGGCCTGGATGAGCTGGTTGCAGGCCTATTTCTTTTACATCTGTGTCTCTGAGCTCCTTGACGGAGCATTTTGTGAGCTTGCTTTCCTTTAGGGTGTTTCACTGACACAGGGAGAGGAAAACTGAAGTGGAGGACAAGTAGTGTGGTATAAAGCGAGTTTCCCAATATCTCTCCTCAGCTCTAATTTGCCAGAAAGTTGTATGATAAAGGAGAAATGCAGCATGATGTAACTTGGACAAAATCATCTTCCCATTTCTTCCCCAAGTGTAAGACTGCTTTGAATGCCAGGCATTCTAAACTAAACATTCTTGGGATTACTTCCCTTCCCTAGAGTGTCCATGTCCTGCTCTGCTTCAACTCCTTCTACATTTCTCCATCATCTATGAAATAATACGGAATCGATGTTCCTGCACAGCTGAGCCTCGCCTTACTCCTGTTCTTCACCTCCCTTCTTTTTCTTCTCATGCATTCATTTCCAGTCTTACCAAACACTTTCCAAGTTCTTCAACACACCATGTTTTCTCATGCTTTGCACACAAATTTCTTCTCCAGCATTTTCTGCCTGGTAAGACCCACTGGGTCAGTTCCAGTGGCACTTCCCTGAAATCTTTCCTAATGGTGGCTCCTCCATTCCTTCCCTGGCACCTCTTTCTTATAGTACGTGTCTTGTGCCAATTAGAATATTCTCTGCCTCCTCCACACCAGAATGTGAGTTCTGTGAGTTCTGTGAGTTCTGTGACAACACACATGACATCTCACTGATCACTGAATCCCCATACCCTACCAAGGGTCTCAAAGAGACCTAGGCCAAGGGGAAATTCCCTTTCTTGGGAGATCCAAAAGTATAGATCTCGTTTCTAGACTTAAGAAGTAGTGGTTTCACTTTCTGGGGCTAAACCAACCAGTTCTTCATCCATTTCTGCTCTCATAGGAAACTGCACTTGACCTGTGTAGAAGTTAAGTCGCAGAGCCAAGGGGTAAAGTGGGTTTGAAGGTCTTGTCTTTGTCTTGGATTCAAGAAATAAACTTCTAGGGGCTGGGGATTTAGCTCAGCGGCAAAGCGCCTGCCTGGCAAGCG